GGCAGAGCCTGGCCTGGAGCCACTTTATGTTGTCTCCTCCAGGGAAGGCAGCTTTGGGCAGGAGTGGGGGGCTAGAGCACATGTGTGGGTGTGACCCTGATCATGAGCCTAAAAGAGGACTAGCCCGTTGCTCTTGGCCCCGTTGATGGCAGCTGAAGAGGGGTGAGTCCATCCCAAGTGTCCCGGAGTCCCATCATGAACCATCTGCCTGGTCTCACCTCCCTGCTTTTGCTCATTGTCCCCTCTGGCCCCATTACCCCTTTACCCAGTGCAAAGAATACCACAAATAGCTGCCTGGCTTCTCCTAGCACCCTGACATCAAGATAAGCTTGACTCAAACCCTCATTCCCCACCGTGTGGAAGAATCCCACGTCCTCCCTGAGATTCCTGTTATGTTTCCAGGGGAGGTTCACTCTAGCATGCTCACCTCTGGCTTCGGCTGCCTGACATTGCCGAATCCTTGGGCTCTATGACTTATACTGCTGTTGGACCACATTCTTTCATCTCAGCCCAGCTGGCCGCCCAGACGTGGCACTTAGTCACTCCTCTGATTTCTGCGCAGGGAGAAAACACCAACCCAGTTGTACAAGGCGTTCAAGTGTGTAGCAGGCTTTACTGGATATATGAGAGGTGGAGGGGAGGGAAGTTATAGTCGTGATACAGATGACTTAGTGGAAAGAGGTGAGCGGCCCATGGTGTCCTCTGTGCTGGGAAGTCATAGGAGAAAGTGTTGATTGTGTGATATTTGTCTTAGGTCAGTTGGCTGCACCTCTGGGGGCCCTGACAATGAGCCAGAAGTGGGGACTTTCATTTTCTGCCCTGAGAATATCATTCCTATACTCGAGGGGCATCATTTTGTGTCTTTGGATGTTGTAGCTGTGTCGTCTCTCGGGCTCTGGTTCCCTCTTGCTTAGACTGTGGCAGCGGCCACTCGGCTGGTCTCCCTGACTGCAGGCTCCCTTCCTCCAGCCTGTCCTCCAGATTCTGGCACTCCCTAGTCTGAAGGCTTCCCTTGTCCCAGCCCTAATGATAGAAAAGCAGAATGTTCCTGCCCCACCCCACTCTGTTTGATGACTTGCCTCTGCTGGGGCCTCATGAACACGTGGCCGCATAAGGGTCATGCTCTAATCAGTCCACCCCAGATCTTTATTTGTGCCGGGGATGCCTTACCTCCCTCTGATTATCATATAAGCACCACATGCTAAGCGATTGTGCACTGGAGCTCCTCCTCTGATTATCAAAGTCCCGTCCATTCTGGCTCACATGCTCCCCTCACCCCAGAAATTGTCCCCAGTGCTTTCTCCAGACCTTCTCTTGGCTAGACAGAGATTCACCTTTCTTAAGCTGCTGTCATGGGATTTGAAGGAAAGAAGATGAGTGCTCCTTAGATGTCACAGTGGTGGTGAATTCAGCAGGGGAAACGAAGCAGTAGAATGGAGCCTCTAGACCTACAAAACCCAGCATCTGGTGGGACCCACAGAGCCCCTAAGGAGAGGGCCTCCTTTCCTGCAAGGCCCCTGGGAAGTGAAGTTCAAGTTGAGCAGACAAGAAAGGCCTTGATCTATACAAATGGAAGATAGGGGCCCAGGGTAGGAAGGCAGTGTCCTAGGCAGAAAGCCCTGGGCTGGAGGACAGGAACCCGGCTTTGGAACCCCACCTTTCTGAGGCTCCATTTCCTCACATGTAAAATGCAGACGTTGCACCTGTCTTGTCAGCGTCACAGAATTGTCAGGAGAGTTAAATGGGATTCTGGATGCCCAATACTGGGTCATTGTCATTATGGCTGACATTTGCTAAGCATTCGCTATGTGCCAGGCACTCTGTATTATTCATTCAGTCTTCACAATGACCATAGGTAATGGGATCTATTAATTGCCCCAACTTTACTGAGGAGGAAATTGAGGCACAGAGAGGTTGAGTGACCTGTTTAAGTTCACAGAGCTACAAAGAGACAGACCCAGGATTTGAACACGGGTCTTCTGGCACCAGAGCCCTTGCTTCCAGCCTCTGTGCCAAACTGAGGACTGTGGGATTCAGTGGGCTTGAACCTGGGTGATTTGCTGCTTCCCAGCCAGTCATCTTTGTGGTCAAGCTAGTCCAGGCAGTTTCCTCGGCACTTCAGGGTCTGGACTCCTCATATTTCATGAGGTGAGGGCTCCCTACACTCAGCCAGCTTCTTGTGTGGCATGTTAGGTAATCAGATACCATCCCAGAATCCTCAGCAGTGCCTGGACCAGCCCCCTCATGCCTCAGAGATAGTCAGGCTCTCCTTGTCCAGAGTATATTCTCACAGGGTATCTCACAGAACAGGTGCCCACCATGCCCTCACTCTTCACACATTAGGCAGGGTGGGTCCCTGAGGTTACATTTCTTCTACTGAGGAGCAGGATGGCATGGTGAATAGAACCTGGTTTGAATCCCAGATAAACTAATTCGAGTCCTCGCATACAGCAGATGCTCAATCCACCCCTGGTTATTGAGACTGTTAGAAGTAGTAGAAGCTTTTCATCATCTGTGTCCCTGGTTGACTGAGGAGTTCCCATTCTTTCTTTCATTCATTCATTCAACAAATGGTTTTCAGTGCCTGCTAGATGCCAGGTCCTGTGCTAGACATTGGGATAGAGACAGGAATTCAACAGACAAAATTCCTTGCCCCCATGGAGCTTACATCCTTGTGGAGGAGGCAAAATTAACAAGATAAGCACCATAAACAAAATGCCAGATTGTGATTAGTTCTGTGGAGAAAAATAAAGCAGGAAAAGAAGGATGAGGTGGAAGACATTTCCATTTTAAATGCAATGGTCCAAAGACAACATCGGAACAAAGCCTAGAGGGAGGTGAGGGAGAGAGCCATGTGGGCAACTGTGCAAGAGCTTGGTGTTAGCCACGGAGGCAGGCAAGCTGCTGTCACGCTGGGGGCGGGGCGGAACACAGAGACGGCG